TTTAGGGTTTAGGGTTTAGGGTTTAGGGTTTAGGGTTTAGGGTTTAGGGTTTAGAGTATAGAGTTTACGATTTAGGGTTAGCATTTAGGGTTTAGGGTTAGGGTTTAGGGTTAAGGGTCTACGATTTAGGGTTAGGGTTTAGGGTTTAGGGTTTAGGGCTTAGGGTTTAAGTTTACGGTTTAGGGTTTAGGGTTTAGGGTTTAGGTTTAGGGTTTTGGGGTTTAGGGTTTAGGGTTTAGGGTTTAGGGTTTAGGGTTAGGGTTTAGGGTTTAGGGTTTAGGGTTTAGGGTTAGGGTTTATGTTTAGGGTTTATGGTTAGGGGTTTAGGGTTTATGGTTAGGGTTTAGGGTTTAGGGTTTAGAGTTTAGGGTTTAGGTTTAGGGTTTAGGGTTTAGGGTTTATGGTTTAGGGTTTAGAGTTTAGAGTTTAGGGTTTAGGGTTACGGTTAAGGTTTAGGGTTTAGGGTTAGGGTTTAGGGTTTAGGGTTTGGGTTTAGGTTTTAGGGTTAGGGTTTAGGGTTTAGGGTTTAGGGTTTAACTTTAAGGTTTAGGGTTTAGGGTTTAGGGTTTAGGGTTTAGGTTTAGGGTTTAGGGTTTAGAGTTTAGGGTTTAGGGTTTAGGGTTTAGGGTTAGGGTTTAGGGTTTAGGGTTTAGGGTTTAGGGTGTAGGGTTTAGGGTTTAGGGTTTAAGGTTTAGGGTTTAGGGTTTATAGTTAGGGTTTAGGGTTTAGGTTTAGGGTTTAGGGTTTAAGGTTTAGGGTTTAAGTTTAGGGTTTAGGGTTTAGGGTTTAGGGTTAGAGTTTAGGGTTTAGGGTTTAGGGTTAGGGTTTAGGGTTTAGGGTTTAGGGTTTAGGGTTTAGGGTTAGGGTTTAGGGTTTAGGGTTATGGTTTAGGGTTTAGGGTTTAGGGTTTAGGGTTTAAGTTTAGGGTTTAGGGTTTAGGTTTAGGGTTTAGGTTTATGGTTTAGGGTTTAGGGATTAGGGTTTAGGGTTTAGAGTTTAGGGTTTAGGTTTAGGGTTTATGGTTAGGGCTTAAGGTTGGGGTTTAGGGTTTAGGGTTAAGGGTTTATGGTTTAGTGTTAGGGTTTAGGGTTTAGGGTTTAGGGTTTATGGTTTAGGGTTTATGGATAAGGTTTAGGTTTAGGGTTTAGGGTTTAGGTTTATGGTTTAGGGTTTAGGGTTTAGGTTTAGGGTTTAGGGTTAAGGGTTTAGGGTTTAGGGTTTAGAGTTTAGGGTTTAGGGTTTAGGGTTTAGGGTTTAGGATTTAGGGTTTAGGGTTTAAGGTTTAGGGTTTATGGTTTAGGGTTTAGGGTTTAGGGTTTAGGGTTTAGGGTTTAGGGTTTAGGGTTTAGGTTTAGGGTTTAGGGTTTAGAGTTTAGAGTTTAGGGTTTAAGGTTTAGGGTTTAGGGTTTAGGGTTTAGGGTTTAGGGTTACGGTTTAGGGTTTAGGGTTTAAGTTTAGGTTTAGGGTTTAGGGTTTAGGGTTTAGGGTTTAGGGTTTAGGGTTTAGAGTTTAAGGTATAGGGTTTAAAGTTTAGGGTTTAGGTTTAGGGTTAGGGTTTAGGGTTAGTGTTTAGTGTTTAGGGTTTAGGGTTTAAGGTTAAGGGTTTAGGGTTTAGGGTTAGGGTTTAGGTTTTAGGGTTTAGGGTTTAGTGTTTAGGGTTTAATTTTTAGGGTTTAGGGTTTAGGGTTTAGGGTTTAGAGTTTAGGGTTTAAGGTTTAAGGTTTAGGGTTTAGGGTTTATGGTTATGGTTTAAGGTTTAGGGTTTAGGGTTTAGATTTAGGGTTTAGGGTTTAGGGTTAAGGGTTTAGGGTTAAGGGTTTAGGGTTTAGGGTTCACTACAAGAAAAATGATAGATTGGGACGGTTATTTTGGCTGATTACGACGGTTAAAACCGTCGCAATTTACAATCTACGACGGTAGAAGTACCGTCGCAGAATCGTGCGTCCCCAGCCTATTTCGCGACGGTTGCAAAAACTGTCACGCACAACAGATGGCGACGGTTATATACCGTCGTGAATTTGACTTTAACCGTCGTAATCTGATTTATAAATTTCAAATAATATTTTTATTTAAATTATTATTTAGTAAAATAATTTTAAATATAATATTATTTTACTATAATATTTTACTATTATATTTAAATTATTATTTACTTTAATATTTTTTTATTTATAGTATTTTTATTTTATTTTCTATCACTTTTCAACATTGTTTTGAAATGAGCAATCCAATTGTTTTGAAATATTTACTAACTCAGTATTATTAATTCAGTTGGGAAACCATTTGTAAAATAATGCAAGGAGACATTGCTTTTGCTATTGAAGCGTGAGATTTCCGTGAGATACCAGTACTTATTATTGGGAGAAAAGATTTATGAATTATTGCACATTGTAATATGCTTATACCACCTTATAACTTTGCTACAAGTTACCTATAACAAGTGAGATTTTCCGGTTTTCAGGAACTATAACAAAAAGAGGTTAGCTCCGAAATCTCTTGATCATTTTGCAATCTTTGCAGCCATTTCTCTGACCAACTTAGCAGCTACCATAGCAGTCATTCCATCAACAGTATCGCGTTGTGGGTTGAGTTCAACGACGTCTCCAGCAACAACATCACCTTGAAGATTGTGTAGGATGTTAAGAACATCGCGGAAAGAAAGACCTCCCGGTTCAATATGAGACACTCCCGGAGCAAATGCAGGATCAAGACAATCCACGTCTATCGAGATATACACCCCTTTCACACCTTCCCCTAGTTTCTGCACAAGGAAATCACCAAGGTTTAAAAAGAACATACAAATGCACAAGTTAGTATCAATACATGCACACTCGGCATCAAGGGCACTTGTAGCTTCATCAAGAAGTAATATTTTTGGATCTTTCAAAATTGCTCTTCCAATTGCAACTCTTTGCTTTTGACCTCCCTAGAGTTGAGTTCCATGTTCACCAACCATTGCGTCTAGTCCCTAAGATCATTAACCATGTTTAAACAAAATGATTAAATAAAAAAGAACACGCTCAATATGAAGGGGCAGAATATTTCAAACTGTAAAATAGAATTTACTATGACGTTACATGTACATTCAGGAGGAACATGAATACCTTGTACTAATACAGTGAATTGATCGATGAAGCTCCAGCTTGGAGGAATAGAAGCAAGCAATTAGTTGTTATGCAATGTACTCATACTCCTTCATGTAATATTAACATCAACCATGAAACTCAATCACTGTCATACAGGTTAACATAAACAATAATAATTGAAAGCATGTATTTAAAAAAAATGTGAGCAATAATCACTTACAAAATAAAGAAGAATGCAAACAACCCCGATGAAAATGTAAGCAGCGCAAAATTGAATCTGTAACCTTGATAAAGGCCAAATCTAGCGATTAGAGTTCCTATGTTATAACTGATACAAATTAAACGAAAAGACTCGAATTTCAATAACACTTACTACAAATATTTCACTCACATGTGTAGTAGTGTAAATAAAACAACAAACATTAAAATTGTCATTTGTTAGGTGCCATCATCACAATACCCTATAAGACCAGTCAAGTATTTATGATGAACTATAGCAAAACATTTGGCCTTTCAATCACAAAGGATAAAACTTGTTAACTGTATTTACACTCACACAGGCATGATGACATTTGCAAGTTAGTTAATCATACTACCTCTACTTGAAATTGTAGATATCCTTGAGCTGATGAGAAAGATAGCATTTTGACAGCTACGTCAATATCATCACAATCCAGCCATGGTAGACTATTTCAGATGCTTCTTTCCCCCACCACCTTTTCAAAGTTTCTGGTAATGCTTAATACTTCTTCATAGGTGAATTCTTGTTTCTTTGACTCTAGTTCTTGCTTTATTCTTGAATAAGCACCAACCTTGCTCACCTGATGGGAAGCTATGACGAAGAAACACATTCATTATCGAAATGGAAGAAAAAGTACCACGAAGATTGAGAAACTTACATGTGTGATGAATAAACTATATAAAAAATATACCTTTGCAATAACATGGTAGGCTGTCAAGGTTCTAAGAAAATACTTCATCTCTTAAATTGCTTCAACATACAAATAAGGAATACATAATCCCTAAAATGTTTCCTCTTTCATGTAACTCACCACTAACTAAGAAGTTTCATTGGCCTTTGCATTTTCTTCTAAACCTTCCAATTAAATTGACCCCTGTGAAATTTAATATTATTCAACCAAGAATGAAACACATGAAAATTAAGTATAAAACTACACAATAGTACTTCAATAGTTCAACTTTTACAATAACATATACTGTCCAAAAAAAAATCTTTATTACAGAAAGTGAATATGTTACAAATTATAAGATATTATCCAAAAAAATTAAACTCTAAAGAACACGCCAAAGAACAAATAAAACATGCAGGTTGCCAAAATCAAGTATTTTAATTCATCCTCTGAAATTTTGAATTAACACATTTTTTCAACCGTCCAAACTCACAGTTTTTTAATCCAAACAATCTCCTTCAGAAACTTGAATCCAACAAATCTTCTAGACAAAAAAAAAAACAACTACTTAAAAAATCTATAGTTTCAATGCTTGGCGAAGTTTCCACCTTGAGAGTGCGAACAGATAAGCCACTCGTTTTGTTCTTCATGTTACAAACTTTCGTAAAAGATTAGTTAAACTCGTCTTCTGCTATATCGAAGTAATTCAAACATAGTTTCAGCGATAACAAAAGCTATAGCATTATACTCACGATATTCCAACGACCTTTCAATAGAATATGTAAGTGACTTCAAAAGAGGGCAAGATCGACCAAGGATTTTGAGAGAGTCTTTGTGTAAGTTGGTAAGTAAAATATCAATCATCTCTAATCGCAGAAGCTTTCTCACAGCTTCACAACACCCTTTATCAGAAATATTCCAGCAATCTACCAACCGCATGGAATGTAGGTGACTGCACTGTAAAATTTGAAGTAAAAATTTTAAACAGATTGGTAAATGAAAACAATAAAATATCTATGAACTGAACTTGGATATTACTTACTTATCAGTTATGCATTCAAGGAGATTATTGGTGCCAAAACGCACAATATCAATTTCTTCAAGATGATCACAAATTCGTTCAACAACTCTGAAACAAATCTTCAACAATTCCACATCATCGTAAGGACTATTCCACCAAACAGGGCACACTCGGCATGCACTCATCAAATACTTTAATATATATATAGGTACAGCTAACCATAACTAACTCTCTTATGTCAGTTACAACAGCTGGCTACAGCTGGCAAGCTTAACTCTAGCACATGTCTAAAAGCTAACTAATGCAATAACCAACTGACTAATCTAACAAGAGTGATTCCAAGTGAAAATTGATTGAAATGAGTGAAGGGTGGTTAACTGACTGACGGCTGTCAAGCAGCTAGTTACAAGGAAGCTAAAACAGTTATAGTTGATTACACTACAGGTGTTTTATATTATGAGGGAGACTCTATACAAGCTCTCATGAGCTTGAGTTAAGTTATATTAGCTTTATGCTTTCTTGTACAAGAATGAAAGCTCTGCTATGTCAGTGTTTATATTACGAAAGAAATGAAGTATTGATACTTGAGAGTTAGAAATCAACACAAAGCCTATTGAAATCAACACAAAGCCTATTGAAATCAACACAAAGCCAGCTCAGTTATCTTCCATTCTTTCATATTTCGGAATATATCATGTTGGTCACAATCTTATTGCTCTATATCTATAATAGGGTTAGTCCAAATATTTGGTATGAAAGGAGAGCAAATTACTAAGTAAAATTTGGATAAGGGTTAATTTATGCTCACCTCTAAGACGTTGTAGATCACATACAGTTTGATTGTTGCTTGACCACGGATTATATGATATATGAAGCTGATATCTAAAACAACAAAAAATTAGGAGTGGTGAGCATAACACCAATTTCAGCATAAGAAACAACCTGATAATTCAAAACAGAAATATGTATATGGAACTAAACCTATTTGCTGCAAAACAGTGATTCCACAAGCCATAATAATAAAATAGCCAAAATCCGACAATTCAACTGGAGACAGCCTCTTGAACTTCCTGCCATGAGCATGACGAGGTCATGTTGATAGTATTAAATTAAATAATTAAACTGAAATCATGAATCACCACCAAATTTTTTAAACATGAGAATTAGTAGAAGAGCCAACAAATCAAAGCACATGAATTAGCAGACCATATCATTAAGTATGTGATAGATTCAACTTTTTTGGTAAACACAAAATCAGGGTAGATTGTCTCATTAAACCAATCTAAATCCTTTTTACGAGTCAACAAAAACGAACCATGTTCAATTTCCTTCGTAAATTTAATACAATTTTGGAAATTGAATACAAAATTGAACTAAATGCTCACAGCTCAAGTGAAAACTCTAAACTAAACAAAAAGATGCAAAGGGATAAGTATATCATCTAAATCCTAACAGGTGCACTGAATGACATCAAAGTATTATGACAGATCATGAAGAAAGGTGGCAAACCTTGTTTTCAGAAGCTTCCAAACGATCATTACCACCCTTGTTGGCATCACAGTTAACAATGACAGAAAGGAATTGAAACAGACAAAGAAGCCAACATCAATAAGCTGCAAATGAATTCAGCACTTGAGATACCATGACATAAAAAGTAGAATGCATAAACAGAAATACACAAACACAATTCTTAAGTAACTATTTCACAGTAAATGAATAGCTTCGGGTTACATCCTTCCCCCAAAACGCCTACATTATAACAGCGTAGTTTGGACCGTAACCCATTAGAATTGCACCAATGATGAAGAGTATAGAGGCTAAGAAGATTGTGTATCGACGACCAATGACATCAGAAGTTCTTCCAGCTGTTAAGGATCCAACTAATGCACATACATTTAAGATTCCTGCTAGAATTTCTTATTGTGTGTCACTGATTCCCAAATCCTCTTTTATGAAAATCATTGCTCCACTCATAACACCGGTATCTGAAATTAATCATCAATGTAGAATAGTTATTATAAAAAAATGACTCGATATAAATGATTGAATAATACATACATGACTACTAAATTCACGAATAGTCAATTAGTAGTCACACACCTTACATTTTACATAAAATATAATAAGATATATTAGAAAACCTCTCTTCAATTTTGTTGGATAGGGAAATGAAATTAAAAAAAAAGTGAAAAAGATTAGAGAATGTGATAATATTACCATAGCCAGAGACAATGGAAACCATTGAAGCAACAAGGGCACAAGCCAAAGCATATTTGTTCAATGATGTGTTTTGAACTTCTTTGTCACCTTGATCAATTATCATGATGATGATGATATTGTTAATGGTTTTCGGCAGTTTCCTCCGCGGCTCATAATGAATCGACAACGCATCTTCTTCGACGCTTCACCATGAAGAGTAACAATCCGCATCCTAAACCTTTATGCGTCATCGATCGTTTTCATCAACTGCAAACAGAAACAGAATTGACCGGATTCCGCGGAACTCATAAAAGAAGATATGGAAAAACAAGTAAGAAAGAAGAAGTAACGATACCTTTGAATCTTTCGTCGCCGAGAATCATCTTTACAACCGTCTTTGAATCCGTTGAGATCGGTTGTCTAACACTCTTCTTCCCATCCGTTCATGGTGTCGAGATGCAATTCTTGCTTCGCTGGGGTTTGCGTTTGAGCGTAGATAAAGGGAATGAAATGTCTGCTTAGATGAAAAGGGATGAAGCCCCGGGAATCGCCTGATGAAACTCCTTCTCTGCCATTTAATTGCGTCTTGAAGCTCCTAAGGTGTTGCACCCCAAAATTTGCCCTCCCATATTCTCTAAGAATTTGTCAAGTCAAGGTCACAAAGTTCCCCAAGGGTTGTGCAGCTCAACTGTCTCCTATACAGTCAAAACTAGGGTTTGAGTTCTGGTCAAGCAAATGAACTTTTCAAAGGCCCAATCAAGTCTCAGGTGCTTACAAATATGGTCAAACATCCTCATATCAAGTTTCAAGGCATTCAGTTCAAAATTGCACAGTCAAAACCCTAGATTGCACTACAGTCAACTGTAGGGGCAAAATGGTCATTTGACAGTCAAAAGTTCAGATTTTTGGTCAATATATCATTTTGAAGCCACAAACATCATTTGATCAATGCTTGATCATGATTCTCAAAATTTGGCTCAGAAATCATCAAAGATGCAAAAGTTGCTATATTTGGACAGCTGAAAAAGTCAACTGAAATTGACCAGGGCATAACTTTCACATGGATTATCAGAAAAATTCCATCCAAAGCTCATTTTGAAGAGAAAGACATTTCCTACAATTCATCTTCATGTTCCAAATCCAAGAAATGCTCTCACAAAAAGTTATCAATTTCAACATTATAGGTCATTTTCAAAAGTCAACAAAAAGTGACTTTAAGTCAAGGGCCATAACTTGAGATTGGTAAATCAAAATGACATGGGACCAAAGGCATTGGTTAAAGGACTCAAAGACCTTTCCAAAATGTCCAAGAACATGTGAAAAGCTTAAAAATTGACCAAGTTATGCCTTGTGGAAGTTGGGAAATTTTTGGAAATTTTTGAAAGTCAACATTGATGCAAAAGGCCTAAAAATGTAAATGGGCCCATTTTTCTTCCAAGTTTCTTCATGCCAAGCCTATGCACGACCATTAGGCCCAAAGGGAAGTATTTTCATATTTTTTAATTATTTATTTGAATTTATATTAATTTATATTCATTTAAATCATTTTAATTCATGAAAAATATAAACCTAACCTAAAAAAATCTTTTTATGCATGATTTGGCCTCTATAATTCGTGCACATCTCAAATAGGCAAGCTTTGGTGCTAATTGATCAGATTTGGTACAAGATACATGAGAAAAAGATTGGAAAAGATTCTTAACAAATCAAAGATTGAAATCATCATGGCAAAGGATTTTGTGCAATGTTTTTAAACCTAATAGCCTCTATACATATCCAAGATCAGAACCCTAATGTTTTTAGACTCCATACTGCGCAGCAATTGACATTACAAACTTGCAAAAATTCTTAAAAAGTTCAATACTGAAATCAAGGTTTTAGGTCGATTCAAGCATCAACTCTCATTCCATTAGCATCCTCAGGCACTCTTGATCAAATTCCAACCAAGAACATCCACCAAAAGGCCCTGAATTGGTATCAAGAACCCGGACTGAACCTCAAAAATTTTGAAATCGTATAGCATTTTTTAAGCACTTTTACAGCATTCTATTCATTGCATCATGTTTGTTTTGAGTTTCTGAAACTAACCCTTATGCTTGATTGAAGTTTTACATGCTGTACGCGAATTCACCATGATCGAAATTTAGGTTTTCAGAGTTCTTGATTTGGGGTTTCTCACCCAAGGAACAATTGGGACTCAAGATTAAGACCATTGCAATCAGCGTGTTCCCATGAACAAGAAGCATACCTCGCGATGGATTTATGTAGCAAGGAGGGCTATTCGCTATTTTCTTGAATCCCCCCTAATGCAACGTTTCTAAAACCGTTGCCGTATGCTTATGTTTCAGAAAAAATAAAAAAAGGATGAAGACGATGACGTGCTGGCACGATATGATTGGGTGTTTTAAGTTTAGCGCGCCCAATTATTAGTGCGCTTGGTTTTTCCTTTTGTTTTTTATTCTTTATAATATATCAATTGATGTTAGGTGGCTCAGTGGTAACACGCTACGCTTGTAACCTTCAAGACCTGGGTTCAAGTCCCAGGTCTGGCAAAATCTCAATGCTATTTTTCAATATGAGATCCAATGCTTTGCTAATGTCCAGGACTACCATGCACACTCCAAGTTCACCATACACGCGTCCATCAGTAGCCATCCAAGGGCCATGATCAACGGAGTACAATAAACTCCAGTCAACGCGTCATATAGGATTCAAAAGGTCAACGAAGACTGAAGCTCAATGGGCCAAAAGTCCAGGCCTATACCTCCTGATTTGGGGTCACACCCCACCCTGGTTTGCATTTTTTATATTTTTCTTCTTACCCTTATTTTTGTTGTTTTATTTATTTTATTGTCTTAAGTTAATTAATTTATTTTCACAAAAACATAAAAAACATTATAAAAAATCAGAAAAGACTAAAAAATAATAAATATGTATATTATGATTATTTTTAAACAAATGCTTGTAAATATTTAGTTAATTAGGTTAATTGATAGTTTTAATCTCTTTAATAAAAATCCAAAAAATGTAGAATTAGGTTAATTGATAGTTTTAATGTTTTTTTGTTTCTCATAATACTATTTATTTATTATTTTATTTTTATAATTAAAAATTGTACATAAAGAATTTAGGTTAAAAAAATTAATTCTTTCATAATAAATAAAAAATATTAGAATTAGGGTTTGCTTCTTAATTTAATTTCAATTAACTCCTTTTTTCTTATTAAATCTAAAAAACATAAAAATACCATTTTCATTTAATTTTAATTTTTAATTCTCATTAACCATTAATATTTTACAAAAGGGTCCAACGCCCGTCGTTTCAATGATTTAATTTGCGCATTTATCTTATGTCGTTTAATTATAATTATGTAAATCTCCCAAAGCCATGTAAATTTACTTTTCGCACTTTATTTATTTCGCATTATTTATTTTTCGCTAAATCGGGTCCGGTTTAATTTTGGCGATGTGGACCCGCGCCTTTGTAATAGCCTTAGATTTATTTTTTCGCAAACTTTATAACTGTTAAATATGCATGCAAGAATGAATGTCAAATTAAAATCAAGCGTAGAACACGACAAACATGACAAGACAAACAAATGAAACATGACACACAATTCGCACACACCACCCCTAGGGTACGCCTCACTGTTGCCTTGCCTCGAAAGGTGATCGTCGAGTAGAGGACGTCTTAGTAAGTCCTCATGATCCGGGAACCTGGCATGAGGGTAGCTTCTAAGGTGTCTTCCTATTACTCTGGTGATCACCACGTCCCTAAAATCGAATTGACCCGAACACCTCCAACAGTGGTGCTACCTACCTCTCAATGGTGGGATGGCACTACTTTTAAGGACTTTTACACAGACGAATTCCTTAGGGTAGGTAGGTTCTCAAGGATACTTGCTCTAATCTCAAAACGAAACAAAAAGACTTTTCACACTGACACTTTTCAAAAGCTTTCAAAACAAACTTTTCAAACACTCTGACGTATGAGTCGAACTGAAATTTTTTCAAAGAAACTTTTTAAACCCACATTGAAAAGCAAGCAAACATTTTGAAAACACATTGAGCAAGTATCTAAGAGCCCATGGATAACCATGGATAGAAAGGGTGCTAACACCTTCCCTTTCTATAACCTACCTCCCGAACCGAGAGCAATCTCTTTAAAGGAATTTTTCTGTGCTTTTGTCCTTTCCATTTGGAGAAAATAAAAGACGGTGGCGACTCTTGCTTCCGCGACATTTCGCGAACCAGCGTTAAACAGTCGGTTCCAGATCCACCGATCACAGAACTGGCGACTCTGCTCGGGAAACTTATAAAGTGAGGTGTACCTTAGGGCTAGCTTATAACTATGTTTTCAATTGTTTTCCTTGTGTGCTTTAAATTGTGGGTTGCTTGGGAGTTCTATAGATCCTAAACCCGGATCTGGGGGATACCTTTCTTAGAAAGTAGCAACAAGGCTGTGAGGGAACTGTGCGGGGTATACCGACATGGTTGAAACAGTCTGCTACGTTGATGTGGCACTTTGGTGTGTACCGGTAACCCTTGAGTTCAGTCAAGGAGAGTACGGGGCCTCCGCGTGGTGTCATGAAGCATCAACAGACCTTAGGAACCTTAATTGAACTATCTTGGCCTCTTTAGGGTAGTGAGATAACTGACTTTGGTGCAGTCCGAGGTTGGTTGATACTCGATACTACGCTCAATTGAGGGTTGCTTTCCTGGAATATTTCGGTCGCCAGTTCAGTGGCTAAATCGAAACGATGAACAATGAAAGCAATCCCGTGATATTGGGAACTTTAGAACCCGGTTACTTTGATTAGGACAGGTATGAACCCACCAACTCAAGAGGGTACTACCCAGACCCCATGCTGGCCTTAAACCTTAAGGGCTTGTCTTGTGTGCCTTGTTTGCCCTACATGTTTGTCTTTGTAAATATCTGTGGTGTGTTTAATCATAGCATCATGACATCATCCAGCATCATATGCATTGACTAACCATTTCAGGGGTTCGAATTTTCATCTTTGTTCTTGTTTTGTAGGACATG